GTCAAAAAAATCGGATTTGATGCGCTTTTGCCTGCAGTGTGAACGTAGCCTTTGACTAGGCCACTCCAAATTAAAGATGGACTTGCTGGTGTGCTTTGGATCATCATCCTGCTGCAGAACACAAGTGCACTTCAAGATGTTTTGGTAGAATTCACGACTCCATTAACAACAGCAAGACATACAGCTGCCAAAAAGTTTTGTCTTGCCAGAGCACAGAGTATGTTGGAGATCAAGATGTTTTCTTAGAAAACCGAGACAAGCCTTTCTGTTCCTTTTGCTAAGCAGTGGTTTTTGTCTTGGAACTCTGCCATGCAGGCCATTGTTGCCCAGTCTCTTTCTTATGGTGGAGTCATGAGCACTGGCCTTAACTAAGGCAAGTGAGGTGTGCAGTGTTTTGGATCTTGCTCTGGGGTCTTTTGTGACCTTTTGGATGTGCCGTTGCTCCACTCTTAGGGTAATTTATGTTATAAATTGGAGTGGGGCGATCACCTTTTTCACACGTGGGTTTGGATTTTTTCCCCAAAGATGAACAAACACCTTTATTTAGAATATGCATGATGTTTTTAATTTTTTACTTGTGTTATCTTTCATGATCTGACATGAGCAGACCCACGAGCAAACATGTTTTCGCACCACTGTATATAAACAATATATCAAAAGATTGGGACACCGCCTTTACATTATTGACATTTTAAAATGATAATTTGTTGAACAAGAAAAGAAACATATCTGAAAGTAAATATGTCGTGTTTCTTTCAGTGACAAAGGAAGTCAACCTGTGATCAGCTGATCGTCTCAGGAATCCCAGACTTTTAACTTCCACTAAAACCTGAATTTGTTTCCTTTCAGTCGTTTTTAGTTTTAATCCAGCCTTTTTCAAACTTCAGTCTTTTGTTCTACATGTTATATCTTTTGTTATATTTGTAACTTTTAAAGTATTTTTCCTCCTCTGGGCACCAGCGGAAGTTTGAAATGGTGAAACAGGTGTATTTGTTTGTTGCAGTCTACACATTAAATATGAACCTTAAACTGCATGTTTTTCTTCTCAATTTAATAAACCATAATAATGTTGGTGTGTTGTTTGAATCTAATAAATATTTCAACTCTTTCAGTTAAATAATCAATGTTTTTACTGTGAAGGTCCCAGAAAAACATTATATTTTCAAAAATAAAAAGAGAAAAATGGAAAGATCAACTAATTCCTTGTGATCAATGTGAACTTTCATTAAATACAAACATGCATTCATCCATTTGCTTTTGCTTATCTGTGGCTGGGTCGTGGTGGCCGCAGGCTAAGCAGAGAAGCCCAGACCTCCCTCTCCCCAGCTGATCCAGTGGAACATCAAGCTGTTCCTAGGTCAGCTGAGAGGAGGCCCTGGGGCAGATCCTTTCACCTAGTCAACGGCGTACAAAGATCCTGCGCGATGAACCGTAGATTTCAAAGTTTGATTCCTCAGTCCATAAAACCTTCCAGTCTTCAGTAGTGCAATGGTGGCGTTTCATGGTCCAGACAAGCCTCGTTGGCTGTGTCCCAATTCAGGGTCTGCACGCTTGAAGTACGCACACTACGCATACTACGTACGGTGCGTACTATAAGTACGAGAAGTGCGGAAGTGAGAGGCTTGTGAAATGGGACGGT